TCACTTTTAGTTAAGAAAGCTGTCTTTTTTACTTTCTGTAAAGATAGATTATACTTAATGGAAAGATTATGTTAAAATGAAGCATGCAAGAAATCCATAATGTTCTCTTTAAAAAGTAAAATGGAAATAATGAACTGCCAAATACACCTTGGAATATATCTTTTATGATTAAGGTGTTTAGAAGTTTTACAATAATCTCCCTTTTAACTTCCAGGAGATTCATTACCGTTGCAATCATTTCCGTGGCTACTTTTTGAAGTTGTATAAATTAACAGTAGCAGCTGGGCAGATTTTAAAACATATGCTATTACAAAAATGGCAAGAATAATTGGAAATATATTCCAGTTATTTAATTAAAAATCATAAACGCGCTGAAGAGCTACCATCTTTTTAATTTCATGCATTTTCCAAGCTGATATAATCGTGCACAGAAAGGCATTTGTTCTGCAAAAGACGATCTTATCACTAGCTCTAAGGAATGGGAATATATTCCTTGCTTACCAATCCTCCTGCAAAATCATAACAGTATAAGCTGGAGGCTTTGACTGCAGGAAAATTTTGTTGTTGTTGTTGTTAGTTGTGAAGTCGTGTCCGGCCCATCACGACCCCATGGACAACATTCCTCCAGGCCTTCCTGTCCTCTACCATCCCCCAGAGACCATTTAAGCTCATGCCGACTGCTTCAGTGACTCCATCCAGCCACCCCGTTAATAGATTAATACAGTAAACTCAAATTGGGGAAATACCATCTTGCAGAATCATATACAGATTTTCTGATCAAGCCAGAAAATTTAAATTTTAAAAAGAAATTGATATTTTTAACAGGGGTGGCAAGGAGACCAGCTATAGAGCTCGAATCATCTGCTGATGAATCTATAATAATGCTAATTGTCTGCTGACGACATGTCTACAAGAAAACAACCAAGGCTCGAAAACATCAAGGATTCTATGCTTCTGACTTCCCCCCTCTTGACTTGTTTAAGGCCTTTATTTATCTTTTTTTTTAAAAAAAAATGCATGGCTACTTTTAATACTTCAGTAGAGTCTTGGTGATAAACCATGGCAGAGATTTTATTTATACACACACACACTTCAAGATCCAGGTGGACAGGCAGGTATTGGCCAATCAACCAGACATTGTCATAATAGACAAGGACTACACGACAAGAGCGGTGATAGATGCAATGGTGATAGCAACATGAGGAAGAAGGCATATGAGAGGCTAGAGAAGTACCAGGATTTGGTACTAGAAGCAGCAGTGAAATGCACTTACCTTCGCTACCGGTTCGGAAATGTGAGTGCACGCGCCTCTTCTGCGCATGTGCAGAGCCTTCTGTGCATGCGCAGAGGGTCAAAAATGGGATGTAATGATGTCCCAGCGGGTGGGCGGAGCCTTCCACTGCCGGCCCTACCGGTTCACACGAGCCGGATAGATCTGGCCAGATTTCACCGCTGACTAGGAGGATGTAGAAAGTAAAGGCCAAAGTGGTTCCAGTATGGTGGATGTAATCTGGATTCCCAGAAGGAAGGAGCTGCATTCCAGAAGGCAAAGAGACTGCAGAACTTGGAAAGTTTGGTTGGCAGGAAGACAATTTAAACAGTATATACACATGCCATAGACCAGTAATGGCTAACGTTTTTGTCATCGCGTGCCAAAAGCGGGGGGAGCGGGGGGGTTGCACACCCATAATTCTATTCACCCCGCCCCTGCACATGCGACCCCCCGTGTTCCCCCCACTTTTGGCACGTGATGGCATGGTGGGCCCGGTAGGCCTTTCTAGGAGCCTGGGGAGGACAAAAACAGCCTTCCCTAACCACCACCACCCCGGAGACCCTCCAGAGGTTGGAAATGGCCCATTTGCCAACTTCTGGTGGGACCTCACGTGCCCACTGATATGGCTCTGCGTGCTACCTGTGGCACGCGTGCCATAGGTTCACCATCATGGCCACAGACCCTTTGTGACACAGATGACAAGAATCTTTTGCAATATTTTCATCCCACTATGCCCCAAAGCCTTTGTTGACCATTGTAATTGAAAATCAGTGACATGGTTACCCACCATTTTGTGGCAGAGAATACAGTATCCATTTTTGCTTTAAATACACCCAAAGGTCTCAGCAAGTTTTTAACTGGGAACAGAACATGGGCTTCAATCAGCAAAGTTGCTTTAGCAAAGTTAAACACTTTCAATGACTCTGGAAACACCCTCCAGGAAATGAATCCAATCACCAAGAGGACTCTGGCAACTCTTTTCCTATGCCGGGCTCACTACGATCGCAGGCACCGGGTTAGGGCTGAAAAACAGCTTCTAAAGCACAGCTGATCATCGGATGGAGCAGCAATGAGAAAAGCAGGCAAAGTGTGGAAGATCGCTTCACTCGCTAGCGCCTCGTTAGGGCTGGAAAAAAGCTTCAAAAAAGCTACATTCAGAGTATAAGATGCACCCAAATTTTCAGCCTCTTTTGGGGGTACAGATTGACGTACAAAGTGGAATTGAAGGAGTTCTTGTCTTTATGAAATCTCACCACACCAGCACAGCTGATTTTAAAAATAACAATAAGCAGCTCCCCATCAATTTCAAAACCAAGGCACTGTTCTTTCCCCTTTAAGGAGAGTGATTTATTACCCCATAGTGAATTATATATTGCCTTCCTGAATATGAAGAATGAAAATGGTAAAAAAAAAAAAAAAAAATCCAACTGACTGACCTCAAATTGACAAGAGAACACCCCATATAGTTTGCAGCATGCATTTGGAAATTGCTTTTCATGGTGAGTTTTTGAGCCAAGTCCCATAAATTCTGGCCAACAAAACCTTTTAATTTGCCCTTCGAACCTTGACACTTAACCAGGTTCCATCATGAGGGAACAGAAGCCAATGTCTCCATGGAAAGCTGAATCTTATGTGGAGTTTGCATGGACAAATCTGAAGCTGCAAAAGAACTAGTTATATACCTTCTGCTTAGGTGTGAAGTGTGAAGACAAAATGCAAGAACCAGAACATTAGAAAACAGAAAAGATACAAGTAGTTTCGCATAAATATAAAACCAGCGTACACCTGATTTTAGGAGTAAGATTTAAAGTTTCACTGTAGCTTGTAGATCGGTGAATTTACTGTTATCCTTGTTGCCTGATTTGAGGCACACAAGTAATCCTTCACTTACAAATATTTGTTTAGCAACTGTTTGAAGTTACAACACCAAAAAAGATGAGTTACAGCTATTCTTTGCACTTATGAGCATCTCAGCATCCCTATGATCACATGATTAAAATTTGGGCACTTGGCAACTGGTATGCAGCAGCCTGTGATCATGTGGTCACCATTTGTGACCTTTGCAATTGGCATTCCGTAAGCAAAGTCAATGAGGGAACCCATATTTACTTAATCACCCTGTGATTCCCTTAACCATGCCAAAAAAAAAAACCCAAAAACCTAAAATTGGGCACAACTCATTTAACAACCACCAATGGAAATTCTGGTCTTAATTGTGGTTATAAGTCAAGAGCTACCTGTACAAAGGAATTGATCTTTGGAACCTTCTGCATACCTAAGGTAAAGGTAAAGGTTCCCCTCGCACATATGTGTTGGTCGTTCCCAACTCTAGGGGGGGGTGCTCATTTCTATTTCAAAGCCGAAGAGCCAGCACTGTCCAAAGACATCTCCATGGTCATGTGGCTGGCATGACTAAATGCCAAAGGTGCATGGAACGCTGTTACCTTCCCATCAAAGGTGGTCCCTATTTTTCTACTTGCATTTTTTTACATGCTTTCGAACTGGTAGGTTGGCAGAAGCTGGAACAAGTAACAGGAGCTCAATCCATTACACGGCACTAGGGATTCGAACCAGTGAACTGCCGACCTTTCGTTCAATGGCATCTTAGCCACTGAGCCACCGCATCCCTTCTCTGCATACCTACCTTTGGCCAATTCTGGAGTGCCAGACCACCTGGAAAATCAACTATATTGGGTTTTGTGGCTAAAAAAAAAATGGCGGGAAATAAGGATGTAAATAAATAATAAAAATACAACCAGAGAACAATTTGTTATGTGGTCTTTGTGGGAACATGCATCTTTTTTGCTATACTGTGTAACAGAAACTGATCATTTGAACCTACTATCTTCTGGTGATTAAGAACCTAGGGAGTTTTAAGCACCTGCAAATACTTTTCTACGAAATACATAACTATTAGATGTAGATATAGATATAAGGTTTCTTTGTCTCTAATACACACACACACACACATACACATATACATATACACATATACATATACATGCACACACACACAAATGTATATATATGTACACACATACATATACATACACATACATATATATATAGACACACACACAAATTATGATGGAATAAGCTGCCAAATAGTTTGCACTATTTTGGATAAAATGATTTTGTCCTTTTAAATGTGGATAGTATCTGAACAGAAAATGCACTCACTCTCTGTGTATATGTGTATATTGTACTTTCATTCATTCAGGATGTGGAAATGTTCAGGCTAAAAAAAAAACACATGTGGAAATGAAACAAAAAACAATCCAATTATGTGTTAATAACTTTCAACAAAAATAGTTGATTAAAATACCTTCCTCCCAAGCAATTAGAATCACAGAGGACTTGATTCTCACACGGTAATAAAATATGAAACTAGATTCCAGTGCTAAGTGGGGAGATGTGACTCATATTTGTATCTGCCAGAACTGAAGGCATTAATTTAAAAAATTATTTGGATTCTCAGCGTCTGACTGCTATTCTACAAGCACTGAGGTGTAAAAATATGAATCCAAAATGGCAGACCATCCAACTGAATTAGCCAACAATTGCTGCTGCTGCTGCTCACGCTGCAGTTTCCAAAGCAGTGTTTCACAAACTTGGCAACTTTAAGATCTGTGGACTTCAACTTCCAGAATTCCCCAGCCAGCCGTGGTTGAGGAGCTGCCAAGGATGAGAAACATCAAGGTGCAGAAACATTGTTTTTAAAGCTTACCTTTCAGAAGATCATTCAGTATGATATGGTATCCAGGAAGGAATTGTCTTGTCTTTCCTCATTATAGTCTAGTCAGAAGAAGAATGAAGGAATATACATGTCAGAAAGTTCTGTCATGCCTTTCTTCATGCGGATGATGCTTTCTAATAAGGAAGCCTCATTGGAGCTGGCAACATTTTCAAAATGGAAGAGCTGTGTCACTTTAGCAACTGAAGCTAGAATGCTTCCATCCAAGTTTTAGACTTTTTTTTTTTTTGCTGTTGTTGTAACTTTAGATGAGAGCCTTGTATTGCAGATGCTGTGAGGTCCTTCAGCACATTAACAACAACCACAAATACTTTAAGGAACAGAGGGTTGTCAGCAGGGGTGGGATTCACTTACCTTCGCTACGGGTTCGCAAATGTGAGGTTGCACACCACTGAGGGTTGTATGATTGTGATGGAATCAAGAGACCAAGTCCTCTCCCCCACCCCCAAACTCCATCAACACGACTCAGCTCAGGGGGCAGTTTGCAAAGTGAAGTGTTTTTAAGATTAAGATTAACAGAGCATGCGCAGTAGTGGTGGGTTGCTCCTGGTTCGCACCGGTTCGCAAGAACCGGTAGTAAAAATTTGTAGTAGTTCGGAGAACCGATAATAACATTGGCTGGCCATGCCCCCAAACCGGTCCCCGGCCCGATCGCTGCTCGCTTACCCCACCCACCTCATCAGAGGCGCTTTTTTTTTTTACTTTTAAAAGAATTTTTTCTACAACCTCTTCGGCCGAAAAAATACTTTTAAAAGTAAAAAAAAAGCCTCTGATGATCGCGTGGCTCAGCTGGGATCATCAGAGGCTTCTGAAAGCAATTTTTCTGCAACCTCTTTGGCCGAAGAGGTTGTAGAAAAAAAAATGCCTTTAAAAGCCTCTGGCGATCCCAGTTGAGTTGCCTGATCGTCAGAGGCTCCTAAAAGCATTTTTTTCTGCAACCTCTTAAAGTTGTAGAAAAAATGCTTTTAAAAGTAAAAGAAAAAAAGGTGGCCACGCCCACCCAGTCACGTTACCCCCCCCCAGCTACGTCCACAAAATAAACCACGCCCACAGAACCGGTAGTACAAAATTTTAGAACCCACCCCTGATGCGCAGAGCATCAAAAACGGGATGTGATGACGTCCGGGCGGGTGGGCAGAGCCTCCGCTACTGGATTGTGCGATCCAGATAGAACCAGCTGAATACCACTACTGGTTATCAAGATATAAATCAAAATTTCTGCTTTATCTGGGCCAGGGACAGTTCCTGGTGGCCCCATGGAGATAAGAGATGTTCTCTTTTCCATACCTTGGAAACTGGTCAGCATTTTAATGAGACAGACAGTAGCCTGGAGTAAGTATGCCTACCTATTCTGCTAATCAAATAATTCCCTCGACACTGTCAAGCTAGTTACTAAATCTGCATTACTATTAATCTTCTCATCGTTCCTATCACCCATCTCCTCCCACTTATGACTGTATGACTGTATCCTTAAGATTTATATTGACTGTTTCCCTATGCCTATCATTAAGTGTTGTACTTTATGATTCTTGACAAATGTATCTTTTTTTTAATGTACACCGAGCGTGTATGCACCAAGACAAATTCCTTGTGTGTCCAATCACACTTGGCCAATAAAGACTTGACTTCTATTCTATTCTATTCTATTCTATTCTATTCTATTCTATTCTATTCTATTCCATTCCATTCCATTCCATTCCATTCCATTCCATTCTATTCTATTCTATTCTATTCTATTCTATTCTTCTAATGCACTTCATACCACTGTGAGAAAGAGAAAAATCTACTTAACAGGAAATCACCAAGAACCACAAAGTTGTGTCCATCAGAGTGGTCTCCAATATGACTATCATCCTTGCTAGAAAACAAGCCTAGTGTCACTTCTGCATTTATTTATCTCTCTACATGCTGCTGTAACCTGCCTCCATTTTCTGCTTTCCTGGAGTTCTTCACAGCCAACAGAGAATGGAATGAATAAAAAGAGAACCCCATGTCTATGCTAGCCCCATTTTGTTTTAAATCTATCAATGGTATAACTTTAAATTCTTGGATGGTGATTTCTGGCTTGTTTAGCAAGAAATTAGCTTTCATAAAGATGGATGGAAGGAAGGAAGGATGGATGGATGGATGGATGGATGGATGGATGGATGGATGGATGATTCCCACCCCTATCTAACATTTGTCAGGGAGAGAGAAAGAGAGAGAATCCCAAAGGTGCTTTTTCAAAAGGCAACTGGACTTTCTTTGTTTTTTCTTAAAGACATTTCACTTCTCATCCAAGAAGATTCTTCAGTTCTGACTGAATGGTGGAGAATAGAAAGATTTATATTCCTTGTAATCATCTGGTCATTAGCATTCTCTCTCTCTCTCTGAGAGTTGCTGAGGCCATTTGGAGGTTTATCTGTACCCTCAGGGTTACCTGAAATAATGCAAAGGAGATGTTGTTGTTAGTTGTGAAGTTGTGTCCGACCCATCATGAACCCATGGACAATGATCCTCCAGGCCTTCCTGTCCTCTACCATCCTCTGGAGTCCATTTAAGCTCACACCTACTGCTTCAGTGACTCCATCCTGCCACCTCGTTCTCTGTCGTCCCATTCTTCTTTTGCCCTCAATCTTTCCCAGCATTAGGCTCTTCTCCAGTGAATCCTTCTTTCACATTAGGTGGCCAAAGTATTTGAGTTTCATCTTCAGGATCTGGCCTTCTAAAGAGCAGTCAAAGAGCTAAGGAGATAGGTGGTGTAATATCTCCCCTACTCTGAAAAAGCAGAGACAACCATGACCTGGATGACTGAGAATCTCTAGAGAGAGAAAGAGATGGTGTGGGGAGGGAGGGAGAGAGAGAAAGAAAGAGAGATGCTTTTAAAAATCTGAAAAACAAAGCCAAAAGGATAGAATTGTTAATGGCTTAATAATAAACAGAATTTGTTATGCAAGTAGTACCATTTTATCAAGCAAAGTGATAACCAAATATAACAAAATAACCAGCAAGGTGTACACATTTTTCTCAATCAAGTATTTCAATTGAGTAATTCTTATGGGCTAAATATAAAGCAGAAGAAAACAAAAATAATGACTACCAGTAAACATAGCATTTGTCAAGCAAAGTCTATATACTAGCAGCAAAAAACACAACACCTGGCCTGTTATTTGAATGAGAGGTGAGATCACAGCTTAGACATAAAGAGCAGAATTGAATAGGTGAGACCAAGGATTTTTTGACCCTGACTTCTTTGCTGTCAGACTTAACACTAAGCATTATTTGTAAATTAGATGTTGTTATGTCTCACCAGGATTTGTTGTTGTTGTTGTTGAAGCATAGATAATGACCAAGGGATAATCAGAAGTATTGCAATCTTTGAAATGTGGATTTCATGACATGTATGAAATGAGACGGTTCCCAAAGATATGAACAAAAATAGAAATGTTGTGAAGAGGAAATTGGAATATTTAGGATACATGGTAGGCTGCAAAAAAAATCAACTACTTCAATTAATTAAACAAGGAAAGAGTGAAGGAAAATGCAGCACTGAAAGATACATATCCTGATTGACAAATCTATGTGCGTGGTTTGGCAAAAAATACAATGTTCCTGTTTTGGATTCTAAGATCAAAGGAACAAACAGCATTGCAGTTTGCCAACTTCTGGAAGAGAGAGCAGTAAAAGAAGAAGTATAACAATTTTATACCCTTCCGACTCTGTTATTCTTTTATTCTTTTTTATGATATAATCTGTTATTTTTTTTTGTCTCAAAGAATAGAATAGAATAGAATAGAATAGAATAGAATAGAATAGAATAGAATAGAATAGAACAGAACAGAACAGAACAGAACAGAACAGAACAGAATAGAATAGAATAACAGAGTTGGAAGGGACCTTGGAGGTCTTCTAGTCCAACCCCCTGCCCAGGCAGGAAACCCTACACCACTTCAGACAAATGGTTATCCAACATCTTCTTAAAAATTTCCAGTGTTGGAGCATTCACAACTTCTGCAGGTAAGTTATTCCACTTATTAATTGTTCTAACTGTCAGGAAACTTCTCCTTAGCTTTAAATTGCTTCTCTCCTTGATTAGTTTCCACCTATTGCTTCTTGTTCTACCCTCAGGTGCTTTGAAGAATAGTTTGAGTCCCTCTTCTTTGTGGCAATCTCTGAGATATTGGAACACTGCTATCATGTCTCCCCTAGTCCTTCTCTTCATTAAACTAGACATACCCAGTTCCTGCAACCGTTCTTCATATGTTTTAGCCTCCAGTCCTCTAATCATCTTTGTTGCTCTTCTCTGCACTCTTTCTAGAGTCTCAACATCTTTTTTACATCATGGCGACCAAAACTGAATGCAATATTCCAAGTGTGGCCTTACCAAGGCATTATAAAGTGGTATTAACACTTCATGTGATCTTGATTCTATCCCTCTGTTTATGCAGCCCAGAACTGTGTTGGCTTTTTTGGCAGCTGCTGCACACTTCTGGTTCATATCTAAATGGTTGTCCACTAGGACTCCAAGATCCCTCTCACAGTTACTACTATTGAGCAAGGTACCACATATACGGTACCTGTGCATTTTGTTTTTCTTCCCTAAATGTAGAACCTTGCTTTTTTCACTGTTGAATTTCATTTTGTTAGATAGCGCCCAATGTTCAAGTCTGTCAAGATTCTTCTGTATCTTGAGCCTATCTTCTGGAACGTTGAGAAGAGATACCAGATCATTTCTAGCTTTGCTGAACATGCATTTTAGATGCTTATTTCCTCTGTCCCATCACCATCCTCTTCTTCCTTCTATCCTAAACACCAATCCTTTCCCACCAACATATTCCTTGCAATTATCTTTTTGTAATCTTTTTTTAAAAAATTTATTCGGAAGATTAAAATATACAAAAGCCAAAAGAAAAAAATGTAACAGAGACAAAACAAAACTAGACAAAAACATTAAAAAGTAAATTAAAAAGAACAAAAGGCAAAAACACACATTTACTTGAACACTGACAAATCTATTGCAACAGTAATAGCTCCCCCCTTTGCAAAGGAGGTTCAAAAATTT